GAAGGACAGCTGGGCAGTTGCTCACAAAACTAGACATACTCTTACCATAACCATCCAGCTGTTGCACTCCGTGGTATTTACACAAAGGAGCTGAAAACTTACGTCCACTTAAAAAACCTGCACATGGTGTTTATAGTGGCTTTATTCAAATTGCCAAAATGTAGGAGCCACCAAGTTGTCCTTCAGAGGGTGAGTGGGTTAATAAACTGGTGTGTTCAGACAGTGGAATGTTATTCTTCGTTTCTTTCTATTGCTGAATAATAGTATGTATAATAACACATTTTATCTATGTATCAATTGATGGACATTTAGTTTGTTTCCATCTTGGGGGGGATTATGAATAATGCTTTCTTGAATGAAAGGTTTTTATGGGGAAATACATTTTCATTTCTTTTGGGTATAAGTATTTGTGTGGACATGTATTTTTATTTCTCTTGGGTATGTGCCAAGGAGTCAGATTGCTGGGTCATATGGTAATTCTCTCCTACTCTATTTGAAGAGCTGCAGGTAGAGTGATTGCACCATTTTACATAACCGCCAGCAGTGTCTGAAGGTTCCAGTTTATAGCCATCCTATTAGTCTTGTGAAGTGGTATCTGATTGTAGTTTTAATTTGCATTTCCCTCATGGCTCATGATGTTGGCATCTTCTCACGGCTTGTTCTCCGTCGTATACCTGCTTTGTCAAGTTTTATATTGAGTTGTATTTTCCTTATTGTAATAGTTTTCTGTATATTCTAGATACAGTCAGTTGTCAGGTACATGTTTTGCAAAACTCGAATTCTCTAAGTTGTCTTTTTCTTGGTGGTGTCCCTTGAGGCACAAAAGTTTTAGTTTTGATGAAGTCCTATTTATCTATTTTTGAAAATTGCTTGTTATTTTTAGAGTCATATCTAAGAAAGCATTGCCTAACCTAAGGTTATGAAGATTCACCACCATATTTTGTTACAAGAGCTTAATACTTTTGGCTTTTTCGTTTTTTAAACTATTTTTGTTGTTGACACTATTACAGATGCCCCCCCCCC